AATCTGACGTTGATCACAGGTGTCAGAGTTAATAAAATTTTCCTATAACAAACATGCAAGCGTGGTGCAATTAAGCACGCCTCATAACTGTGAAATTTTTTCCCACAGGTGAAACAATTGAACATGTTGGAAGGCTTTTGTAGAGTAGGCCTTATCTTTCCCTCAGACCAGGCTTGACTGTTACCATATAAGCATTGATTGTTGATGAGAGTTGGCACTTGTGTGATGGATTATTGGTTTGTGTTATTGCCACACTAGCATAAAGTTAGTGTTTAAGTAGGATTGTTGCAGGAAATTTTTTGCCTAAACATATCAGCAGCCTTCTCTGGTCTGGGTGCTATGAGGAAAGATTAGTGAAAATATCCTTGACGATGATGCAACTTTAATAAACTCCAGGGCAACGCTACCCCCCCCCTGGAATTCAGTTGCATTATTGTATCATCGGGGGAAGCAAGTCAGATTAGCCTTATGTACACGAGGAACATGTGAGAATGACTGTAAAGTGTTCAAGGTAGTGTGTGCGTCTTGACATCTGTGAAGTGTACAATTATGAAAATGTCGTATATAAAAATGTTTCCTTTCCTCGTATCGCCCTGACATCTTGCAATTACGAAAAGCAAAATACCAATCATTTATTATCAAGATAAAGAATCTCGTAAATACCTAAGTCATGTTTGTTTTATTAAAGATGTATGATTAATTGTATTTCTTAGTATTTTTATCATATTGTCTAAAAGCCTATTAGTAGATATCAAAATTATCAGAAATTCTTTTAAATTAATCCTATTTTTTAATTAATTATTGGCTTAATTCAATAAACCAATAACTCTTTATATTGTAATTAAATTATTGGTTAAATATTTCTAAAGCTCTTTGTGCTAAAATAATATCATAATCTTGAGCAGTAGTTAAGTTTCTATTCAAATAAGGTTCACTTGAATAAAAAAACAATTTGGGCAAAAAATAATTTGAATAAAATGAATAATAATAGTAATTTGAAGCAAATAAAAGCAAATAAAAATGAAATTTGGATTATGAATAGAAACCATGCATTAATATTAAATCAAAAAATAACAATAAATAAACAAACAAATAAATAGCTTTTATTGCAAAATAATCAATTTTGTTCTTTTGGTGTTAATGATTGAATTGATCACACAAGCAATAGTCAATTTAAACAGCATTGTTTTTAAAGAATTTATTCAAAATATTTATTTTAAATGTATAAAGTTTAATGATTTTCTTTAATGCAAATTTTTTTGATACATCAATCTTGGTCCATATTTATATACTTTAAAGTTTCTTTATTTCTTTTTTTGATAAATAATAAATTTATCCTTTGTTTATTTGTTTAGAAAAATTAAAATAATTTATAGGGCCTAGTACTAGGCCACAAACCATATAGTCAACCCCGTTATTTCCGTTTAAAATTAGTATTTAGGTTTAACAAATTTGGTTTAATGAGATGGATTTACTGTTTCTTTGGTTTAACAGGGTTGACTACACAGTTGTGTATTTTATTATGTTAAAAAAAATTTTTTTCTAAAATAAAAAAATCTGTTTTACTGTTTCAGTATATATATAATTAACACAAAATAACAATTTTCTTCAATTTATTTATTAAAATAATAGTTTCCATGATTTTATCCTATCCATTTTTGGCAATAATAAATAATTTAAATCTAGACATAATTACCTTTCATGGAACCAGTTGAGGATTTTTATTTTCTCTTTTATATCAATTATTGAATGTCATGATTTCACTTCCTATATTATATTTTAATATTA